TCTGATAAGAAAGAAAAGAGGTAGAAATTTTAGGGGAAGAAATTCCCTGTGTTTAGAGGTGGGCATGTGATTGTTGTGACGAGAGAGACTGATTTGAGGATTTTAAGTAGGCTTACTGCTATTCTGGGTATTTTTTCTTTTTTTTTTTTTTCCTCCTTCCCCAAAAGTTTTCCAGAGTTACATAAAGGCTGACCCTTGAAGAATTGGCTTTAACAAGAAACCACAGCTCTAGATCCAAGCTACCACAGTTACTCCTCCCTTTGCACAGAAAACCGTGAAGCTCTGACTGTATCATATGGAAAGCCGTGACGCTTGGGGATGCTTTCTGCCAAACACGCCTGTGTGCAGACCTTGCATGTGTCCTCAGCAGTTGTGCCCAGGTCGGAAGGGCTGGACTACCTGCCAGTTGGTTGTTCAGCTGTGAATCATCCTTATGGCGCTCACTGACCGTTTCTGTGGTTTTGGCTTCATCTGCAAAACTTCCACTGACCAGCCCAGTACTAATTCATTTAGTCTGAATCTGTAAACACTTGATTGATAATCATAAAGGGCAATATAAAAGCCTGTGTGCTGTATGGATTAAAAGAGCAGACATGTTTATAGCCTGATAACAACAGAGTACTCTGGCAAAGATCAGGAGTCTCAGATTTCCATATCCAGATGATTTTATTTTTGGAGTCCAGTTGGTGGTTTGAATTTTTGGCTGTTGCAAAACCATCGTAGGTCTTAGCTGTTGCAACATAGGAGGAGGAGAAGGAAGACGTTGCTTGGAACGGGTGCTCTGTGCTCTTATTTAGGAGGCTTTCACAGTAGTTGTTAGTCTCAGAGTACTGCGGGAGGAATGATGCTCCCTCCTCGCTGCCTGGTGAGGGGGACAGGGTGCAACTGTGTCACTTAATAGTGCCATCTGTGAGGGGCACGGACAAGCTCTGATGACCTTTCTGCTCAGCCCCAGGAAGGGGATCACTGAGGTGAGGAGCGGGAGGATTGTAAAGTGGAGCCCTATGGAGAGGAGGAGGGGTATCCTCAAGACTTTAACCAGGAAACGGACTCGAGGCAAAAATAAACGGAGAGGCAAGCAAACTCTTATTTCAGCCAGTGATCTATCATGCGCTCTGCTCTGGGGAGGGCTTGCAAGTTGGAGCTAGATGGAAACTGCTTTTTTTTAGGGGAGAGGCGGGGGGGAACTTTACCTGGTACATCATCCTTATCCTACCCTCTGTTCTGTTTCTCCTGCCTTGGCTGAAGAGGCTTTTAAAAGAGTGGGGCTGTAATGTCAGGGGGGCATTGCAGTGTGCATGTGAGCTTGCTGGGGAACTCATGCCGCTCTGCATCCCTCTTCCCTGGTGTGCTTCATGCTGAGCAGGCTGTTACTCTTCAACGCAATGCTCTGTCCTGTGTTACAAATTAGACCTGAACTAATTGGCAGGGATGCGGAAGTGCCCACGGCAGCGGGTGTAATTGGTGCTGTGCTCTCAGTGGTGTTGCCTGTTTTGTTCTTTTGGATTATCTTCTTGGGGAAAACCTGCAGTCTGACTTAACATACCAGCAATGTTGTGGGCATCTTGAGTGTTGTTGAGGAGTAATTCATTCATCTAAAGATGCCTGTGGGGGATGGAAGGCTGAGGAGGGTTAAAGTTTTTTACCCTGCTGACTGTGCCTGAAGGGGATATAGTCACAAAACCTAAACCAGGCTACCCAGAAAATGTTTAAGGCTTTTGATTACTGGCAGGAGCTGTTTCTCTGTCTTCCCTCCTCTCCTTCCTCCTTTCTTTCCTCCTTTACTGTTACTGAAGTCTTCCCTGCTATGCAGTGTCTAATCCTGGGTGAGCATCGCTCTGGGAGCCACAGGGACCCCACCCCTCCAAGGGTATGATCTGTTGTAGCTGTAAATGAACAAGTTTGTTTGACCTTGGTTACTTCCTAGACCAAAGAATTTATCACCCTATTTTTTTTTTGTCTTAATAGGAACTCTGTAGCACTTACATAAGCTTCTATTAAAACAGTCTCTTAATTGTATATGTTGCACCAGCCATGGTAGTGACAAATCCTCCTGCAGAGAGAACCTTATCTGAGGCAGGGCAGTGAATGGCATCGTAAAGGCCTGCTGGGTTTTGGATATGTGAGTGCAGATATAACCTATCTTGTTGGACTATTGTAAACCCACATTTTTTTTAGAGCTGGACTTGTGGAGGTGGATTTGAAGTGCTGCTTCTCCAGGTTTCCTGGCAAGGGTGCTCCCCTGGCACATGGTCCCTGGCTCAGCCTTGGCGGCTGACAGCAGGATGTTTGCCACCCTGCGTTCCAGCCTGGTCCTCTCTTTGTTCCCCGCAGGGACATGTCCATCACATGAGCACCACTCCTGCCACCAAGATAATGCTGTGGTTTTAGGGTTTTTTATCCTTACTCTACTTCCGTGAAAACTGTCGAGGTGATTAGAGGAAAGAAAGACATGTGGAGTGTCTATATTTAGCAAGTACCTTCCTGCGTGTCCCTTGTTCCTTTTGCCACTGTTTGGTCCCTCCTTTTGCCTTTCCACACACTGAATTTCTGCTCATGCACATGCAGAAACATACTGCTATGATGGCTTTTGTTTCTGGTTAGAGAACTGGTATTTATCTTAAGAAGACTAAAATGAAGCACAGGTTGTATGTTACTTGCATAAGTAGGTTGAAGGAAGATGATAATGCTGCCCTGTTCCAGACTGGAGAAGAGGCTGTGTAGGAAGCTGTGTGAAACGGAGGGAGAAGTACCTCATCACACTCTAAAGTAACCCAATTAGCACTGGTTTAAACCAGAATACACAAGTCAAGTTGATTCATTGTGACCAGAAACATGATGCTTATTTGGAATGAACAACTGTGGTGAAAATTTTTATTATAAATTTCAGGATTTTCAGTTCACTGTCTTCTCCCCCTTTTCCTGCTATTGGCTCAATTGTCTGTAGAAAAGCTAAATCTCTTAAACACAAGCTTCTAGAGGAGATGACTCCTCTTTAAAGCAAATTAACCAACGTAACCTGAGGAGAGTAAGAGGCACGCTTAGGGAGCAAGGAAGTCTTCTAATTTTCTGGATTTCTTAAATCTGGTCCAAAGGGAGGCATTGTGATAGCGTTTCCTTTCAGGAAATGGTTGAATTAATTGCTTTTTGTTCTAGGATTTTCATTTCACAGGATGCTGTTTTAATGGCTGATGCACTCTTTACCTCTCTTTTGGCAGGGATGCTAATTATTTGTCTGTAGAATCACTTTGCATCTTCAGCCCAAATGCATATGAACATGCTGCATTTGGAAATACAGCACTGAGCATCGTGTGCTTGGCTGTCAGTCCCCTGACTTGTCCAGTGGACAGTTTCAGACCATGCTGCTTCCTTCCCGTCTCTCGTAGCCAATTTGTCATCAGAGATTCAGGAGATCTGGAGCCTGCTCCTGGCTCTGCCCCCATCACGTGAAATGGGACTTGCAGAAAGTCATACATCTGCTGTCTCCCCTTTCCATCTGCGTCTTAATCTAGAGAGACAGGAACTGCCTCTTACTATGTAAAATATATAATAATGCTGTTGGCCCAAACCCCTCTGGCCTAGTACACGTTGCTGTAATTCTGGAAACCTGTAAAATAATTTTGCATTAGGGCATGTGTCTGGTGTCTCTTAGAAATTGTAGATGCTTTTTGCTCTAGTCTGACACTTTGGAGACTGTATAAATGAAGACAAATTAAGAAACACGGATGTGCTGAAGGTTTTCCTGACTGTTTGAGGCAGTTCCCAGGCAGAGCACAGTTGGTCTGTGCTTGGGCTTGAGGGTGCAGAGGCTGTGGCTGTGCTGTTTATGTTGCACCGGAGAGCTGAGATGTGGCTCATACAGTGAGTGGCAGGATGAGGAGGTCCCCCTCCGCATCTGGCACAGCAGTGTGCCTGCCTCGCAGCTCCACCCCAAAATGCACAATTTTGGTTTGCGGGTGGAAAAGTCAGAAATACAAAAAAAACCCCAAAAAACCCCAACTCAGAAATAAGTAATTAATGAAAGAATCAACTCCAGCAGTGTGGGGGAAGGGAGGACAGTTGTGCTGCCTCCCTATTTGTGTGAGAGCCTACACTCATTCATAAATGGCTCTGACAGTCGAAAGCCCTCAGTACGAAGAGAAACTGAACAACTGGAGAGGTTGGCTCCAAGGGCTCAAAAAAGGCACTGAAGGGTGATGCAGAGGGGGAAGCTGGAACGCGTGGTGCCCCTGTCCCGCTCGGGGCTGCTCTGCCGTGGGGAATGCGGAACTGCGGAGCTGGCGGGGGGCAGGCGGGGGGTGGCCGTGTTTGAGAAGGGATCTGGCGCTATAACTTTTTTTTTCTTCTTCTGTTTCAAGTAAACACTCTTCCCCGCCCTCCCTCTCTGCCTCCACCCCACCTCCCTCTCTTTCAATCCTGTTCATGTGTTTCTATTTAAGGGCTGCAGTGCAGACGAATATGATTGGCATCTACAGCCCCCTCTTGACTTTCAGCTCAAGCTTTTAGCGCGGAGAAAGAGCGGAACTTTTTCAGCTAACTTTTTTAGAGTGGAGAAAGGGCTAAACCGCCAAGGGGAGAGCTGTTTTTTCTTTGGGTTTACTGGGGGGATGGCTCAGCTGCGGATTTATGCTGCTTCTGCCCAGGATTTTTCTCTCTGAATGGGAGCAAGGATTGTGGAAACCATGTTGGGAAGAGGTTTATTTTCAGAATCCATCATGAAACTTTGCAACTAATTCACTGTTTTGGCTCCATTTCGTATTTTTTTCCTCCCCTTTTTTCTTCTTCTTCTCTCCAATGTCCCTCTGTGCTGCTGGGTTGTGGGCCAGAGGAGGCTGTTTCTATATGGCCAGCCATTTGGGGATATGCTGCGAGCCAAGGTTGTTTGCTGATTCGCTTGGCTCTGGTGACAAGTCGGCCTGTCGTGAATCAGATGGACGGAGGTCGCTCTCGAGGAGCCATGGCTGGAAGCTGGCTTACGGCTTGCTTTTTCCCTTCCCCAGGTGCTGATGCTAGCTCTGAACCCATGATCCTGGAGCAATATGTGGTGGTGTCCAACTATGAGAAGCAGGAGAACTCTGAGATCAGCCTCCAGGCTGGAGAGGTCGTGGATGTCATAGAGAAAAACGAAAGTGGTAAGACAGATTTGCTGCTTTTCCCTCTTCCAATGGTCTGATTTTTGCATGTGTTCCTCTTCTTTCAGTTTCCTCATCATTACTCGTAGCCGTACGTTAGCTCCATCTGGTACAGTTACTATGTCTGGCTGGGGATGTTGAAGTTTCTCAGTGTTGATTTGGGCTGGGGGCCAAATGTTGCCTTCTACTGTAAGAATGTTTCATAGGTTTTGTGCATTAATTAGCGAAAGTATGCTAATGGAAAATGAAGGTGAAGGAGAGAAGGATCTGCAGCTAATGAAGCTGCTGTATGGTATAGACTGATATAGTTGCCCTGCTGTCTCTTCAAGTCTCTGTCAGCATTTCCATTACTAACTCCCCTTTCGGAGGATTTATAGGATGAGTGTTTAAAAATTGCTTGGGATGAAACTTGGCTTGACAGCTTAGCCTGTGGCCAGAGCTCAGTAGGGAGGGGAGGGAATGTGCGTAGATAAATACGTGGCCGTGCACAGTTTCAGAACTTCTTGCAGAAGTGTTAATTGGGGAATTTTGAGACAAGGAGCAGAGCTTGTCATGTAAAAGCAAGATGAAGTCCCTTCTCCTGCCATCCCTGGAAAAACCAGCTTCCACTTGGAAAATGAGATTTTTGGCAAGTGTTTGTAGAGATATGTTTTGTGTACTTTAACTCTTGGATGTCTGGTAGCTTTGAGTCAGCCTGAACAAACACATGAGTCTGTGTACATGTGAGTGGCTAGAGCGGGCTAGCAGCTGGTTTGAATAACTGCCTGTCTTCAGTGGTTCCCCCTCCTCCCCTCCCGCGCTCCTTGTGTATTAATCCAAAGTTGTTGTCCAGGACTGGTTTCCAGCCCACTCGTGACTTGTGTCCTCATCCAGAGGAGCTGCTGGCATTTGGAGCCATTCAAGGAAAGGCCGATGTCATGGTGGCTTCACACGCAGGACTCTGGTGGCTGGCTGGCTCTGGAGCATGCTGGCATGCCAGAACTTGGGGGAAGCAGGATACCCTGATCTGAGACTCAAATCCATCTTCCAGACCTCTGAGTCAGCTTATCCACAATGATGACCATGTATTGTATTTTTTAATTTCTTCTGATGGAGTGGTCATTTCTCTGCTGTATGAAAGCGTGATGCTTGTTTGGCTCAAAGTGATGCAGGCAGTTGTCGGCCAATGATTTAGTGTAGTGTCCAAAAGGATAGTGTGTGGAGATGAACTGGCTAGTGTGAACAGAAATGCCGGTCTCCTGGGTCCTGACTGTGTCACTTGCAAAGCTATTAGAGGCCAAAATGCTCATCTGCCCCACTTTAAAGCAATAGCTATGAGTGAAGGGGGAAAAAATGACTTCTTAAACTATGTCTGGGCTATTGGACAAGCATCCTCCTGTCCAAGCCTGAGGGCTTGTCACTGTCAATAGTGGGTGTTACTGCTGTCAGAACAAGCCTGGTTATTGTGGCAACTTATATTCATATCCATGATATCCCTGTCTTGGATAATGACTTATGGAGCCAAGGGAATTTGTCTGTTAAATAACTCAAGAAGTGTCTGAATTCCAAATTACAGTTCCTTTGTGTTTTCTTGTAATGTGGCCTCTCTGCCTTGCATAGTTCACATCATGTTGTATTGAACCACATGATGTGTGGAGATATAAACGGAGAGGGTCAGGGTTTGAACATGACTCTTCTAAGGAAACATCCTTGAACTTGGATTACAGTCATTAAGACTATATTCTGATGCTTAGCAGCTAGATTTTTTGATGTCCATATAAACAAGGAAAGAAATCTGAATCCCTGAACTCCATGCGATGATCTTGTGCTTTTTATATATATAAAAAAAAAATTGATATATCTAAATATTAAAAGAAGTCGTAGATTGGTGATGGAAGGAGCATCGTTTGTTTTGGATGCTTGTCTAAACTCTTCTGGCAGGGAAATGATTTTAGTTGTTCCAAGAACGGGACTCCAAACATACGCTCTCACTCTCTCCTAGGTTAGGGATACCACAGGAATGACTTTAATACTATGACTTCTTGTCTCTTCAGCTGAAGCTGAACCTATAAATGGCAAGTAATGAAAGTAGCAGAAGCTTCTCAAGTGTCAACTCTTTAAGTTATTGTTTGAATTGGGTATCTGTTTAGTGTAGGCAAGCATGCCTAGAAGATGTGGTTATGAGTTCTAAGAACATGGGGATACACTTTTAAAGAAAATAAGATTATTGGACTATGCACAAGTGTGGTAATTTGTCTGACTGCATGGTTATGTTGGCTTGATAAGTGTTGTGAAACTGTAGATGTGATTGTGTGAATCAGGCTTGTTCTTCTGATCCAGACAGGCAAAGGTGTGATGAGTTACAGATGCCACCTGCAGCAGGGACAGTTTCTTCACTGACAGGAAGGAAGCATGGCTAGATAGCTTATTAGCTGTGTGGCTGAGAAGTCCCATCAGACTGGGCAGTGTACAGTGGGTGTGCTGCTGGGCCAATATCTTATCTCCTTGTGTGTATGCATGCATGTGGCATATCATATGTCTGGGTTTGGGCTTTTTAACTGTACTTTGGGGAAGCTAGATATGTATGGATATACATGGGATAGTATGGATGACTGCTTGATTTTAGAAGCATTGCTTGAACAGGGTTGCATGTTGATGCCTGGGGACACTTAAATATATATTTGGTTTTTTGTTTCCCCAGCATGGGAGAAACCTAAACTTCGCTCTGTTGCATGGCTTTGTAGGGAAGAAACACCCTTGCTTTACTGGTCATATGGCACTATACTTTTTTTAGACAGGGAGGCTCAAAAGTTGTTTCCAAACGATGGG